CCCTAAGGCGAGTAACTTCAGCGCCTTTTCCATAAATTGATCAATACTTTCCCAAAGGTCATTCCTATGTGCGCTATGTTTTTCATTACTAGAGGCATATATGGTTAAAATGTTAAAGAAATATCTTCATAAATAAGGAAGTTGACACTTACTGCGCAGTTGATATTGCGCGTCATGCGCATGCGCTTATTAATTTCATATTTACAATATGCAATACGTTTGCTTTTACTATAAGCATCTTTGGTTAAAATTTCAAAGAATTAAATAAGAAAGTTGGCATTGCGCACATCTGATTTTTACTATATGCGATAAATTTGCCTTTACTACAAGTATCTGTGATTAAAATTTCCCAATCTACCCAAAAGCTCTGACAGTCCCTGAAAAGTTACACCATAATTTTAAAAATCTTCGGAAAATTAATCAATAAACAGTTTTTTAAAGACTTTCAGGAATCTCGAGGGGCTTTTTGAAGAATGTTACCTAAATCTCCTAAAGAATTTTCGAATGCTTTCCAAATCTCTATTCAAAAGTGTTCTTCACAAAATTTTTGTTGAGTCGTGACGTATTATCCAAATATTTTTCAGAGATTTCTCCCTTTTTCCATAAACTTCTCAGAAGAGATCTCCGTAGAGATTGATCACTGAGATCCCTAAAATCGGCATCGTCTCCAAACTTTTACAGCTCTCTTTCAAATTTCTGAAACAATTTTAGAAATTCTGGAGAAACAATCTGCAACCAAAACCAATAGCCACCCTGAAATGATTTTTCAGAGTTGCTCCGTAGAAGAGGACAGTGGTGACTAGCGTTGGGCAAAAAAATTGAAATCAAATGATAATCGATAATCGGGTTTGATTATCTGATTAAACGATTATTTGATTAATCGATTATCTGATTAATCGATTATTTGATTAATCAAGTGGTTGATTAATCGATTAATCGGTACAATCCATTATTAATTTTAATAATCGATTATTGAAACCTGTCATCGCCCACCCCTGGTAGTGAACTGATGAGAAACACCTAAATCTGGAATCCCACAAAAAGTCTGTAGGAACTTGCAAAGAATCTCTAAAAAAAGCACCGAGGGAACCCCACAGTATATTTGAATAGCTTGAGAAATATTTAAAGAATGTTTAAGGAATTCTGAATGAGTGAGGATCTTAAAAATATCCCATTAAGAAAACTGGAAGAATCCCTTTAAAGAGTGTTCGAAAAACTTTCGAAGAGTTTGTACGTACCCAGGTCAGTTCCGAGGACTGCGCAACTCATAATCAAAATCACAGCTTTATCAAACAAATAACTGAACCCCATGGCACATTATCGTCTAGACAAAGCTAAACTTTGAGTAGGTACTAAAAAACTAGGATCAAGGAAATTTAATTGAAATAAACTGCATCGCAAGAATAAATTTTGAAAATGGTAGTTCACCGAATAAAATTTTGGTTTTAGGGAATTTTGACATTCCTAGAGAAATCGACCCGTAAGAATTATTTGCATGAACAAGAATCAGATCGGAATAAAGAAATGTGGTTGTTTTGCTTCATTGTAGGAATTTTGCATTTAATTTCTGTGATACCTTTCCTTTGGTTGGATTAAAATTTTGTCAGCAGTCAGAGGTGTGTGTGTATTTTGAACTGGCGAATGTACCAGTAATTCATTAAGTCGTAAAAATCAAATTCTTGTATTTCTTTATATGAATCATTTATAAGTGACACCCAAGAAAGTGTAAAGAAAAATGAAACCTGAACTTTATTTTAATTAATAATATATTCAACTGAGGTCATATGCGTTTTAATTCGAATTCAATCAAACTAGAGCATTAGATTTTGAATTTCAGGTTTTAAGAGAGATAAGGGGCCGAACTTCCGCAAGGTAAAAACATTATTATTACTGAACTAGCCGTGGGTAAATTAAAAATTGTCACATTGACATTTTTGCCAGTGTCTTAGAAATTCAATGTTGTTTTATGCAAGTGAGGTCTTCGATCACCCTTGTTTAAAAAAACATGATGAATCACTGAAGGATTATCTAACATTTAACCGAGAATCTAACCCGCTAGGCCAAACCAAGCTAAACTGTGTTTTCATAGAGAATCTCTGGGGACCGATAAAAAATATGGGTGTCGTATCAACAAAAATTGTAACCACCAAATTAGGTCCTTGTCGTATGGCGTGATCTGAATCTTTTGAAAATGACAGTAGAAAGAAGTTCATATAAATTGTATGGGGGTTAACATCAGTTCCCCTATGAAACAGTCACTCTAAATTTACAACCTTGCCCTCATCCGGCGAGTAAATACTGGTTGAAACACCATTACGTGCGGCGACATAATGAAAAAGAGCGTAATTGAAACACAAAATGTTTACCCTCTCTCGCCGCAATTGAAATGAAAAGTATGGGGCTATCTCCGTTAAAGGGAAAACGCGTTAATCGCCTCACGCCGAAAAGCCTAATTTCATGTCGGAGAAGCTGAAAATGATTGTTAAAACAGATAAAAACAATAAAAGGAAATTGAACCGTACGACTGAAACGCATGGTAAATAAATTTTCGGACGAGAACACTTTATTGTTCTCATCCCCGCGCTTTCGCCGGAGGGTGCTCTTTTCGCGCTTTGACCAATTTATTAAAAATGCACGCGTCTTCGTGCCAGGCTCATCAATAAACAATAAATAATTGAGTTCGGTGTTTTTTTGGAAATTACAGTCAATTGTTCGGCTTGCAGCGTAATACCGAGCGAGTGTATGAGTCTCAGGGGTGAAATAACGATTCATCTTCCGATATTAAATAATAAAATGGGTATCGTTCTAGTTTTAATATTGGTATTATGCAAAGCACGAGATGCTATCACGAAATTTATGGCCACCTGGTAAATTGCCACAAAGAGTACATTATATTTACTTTATAAACAGAGGTACTTTAGACCCGCCGCGGGAAAGTGGAAATAGAATTTTTAGGACTTCCGCCACGAATGTGTTATTTACATTACGAATGAAATGATATTTTTATCTGCTGCTGAATGCAAAAATCTTTATTCATGTGTTGGTGCTGTGCGTTGCAGCAGTCAAATCTAATTAACCCTCGTAGGCCGTAGCTAATGTAAACGTACGAGTTTTGTATTATGTTTCGCTCGCCTACCCACTTTTCCGCCTCATTTATTTGGAAATTGGGGAAATATTTTCACGCGAATTGAATTACGAGTGTGATACCGACAAAGGGAATCAGTCGAACGTGATATTCTTGAAAAATGTTGTTATCCCTGATTCTAAACAGCCAAATATGATTTGCGAGTGAGAAATTACACAGGGGAGGTTTGTGTTTGCGGACCGATTCGATTCTTTGGCAATAAATCAACAGTTTTATTTTTATTGCCGATACGAGTATATTCTACAACTTTTTCTTTTTTACATCACCCACATTTGCGGTAAGTACATCTGCTGCAGATTTATTAGTCTGCTCATTGGACCTCTCGGAGTGTCAGTAGAATAGGGTGGATTCTAGATTCTAGATTACGATAGGGGGGTGGACAGGGACTACGCGTATTTTGGCCTCGTATTCGGGCCCTTTGTACTACTTCTCTGACGTCCGACCCCTACAAGCCATCTCAGACGTGAGATTAACCTAAGGATGCTGTTTGTTTTTTTGATCTCTGTAATGGAGTCTTCAGAATTATTAACATTTTCAGAAAATATTTTTAGCATTTTGTAAGAAGCCTTTTATAATCCTACCAGGATTAGATATCTTGACGCGTGTGCGGACAATTCGCGCCCGGACAATTCGCTCCGGGCTAATTCGCACCCGGATAATTCGCACTCGAAAAATTCGCTCCCGAATAATTCACACCCGGATAATTCTGTAAATCTTTGGTTTATTAAAATTAAATATTTTTAATAGGCTACTACTAATAGACGATTGCCTTTACAGAATGTATGTAGTAGTGCACATCTTGGTAAACATCTACTTCATGGAAAAATGTTTCAAATAATAGTTATTTGGTCTTTCATTTTCAACACATCGCGATTCTTAAGTATTTCCATTTCTTAAATATAATCACGCTGGTTTTTTTTTTGAAGTTGTATGAAGAGTCTGATATAGTTAAATCCTGTAATTTAAGAACACATAATTTTTATCTACTGCACTTTCGTTTTGAGAAAATAAGAATAGGTAACTGAAACGTCTTTTGTGGAGTAATTAAATACCAAATAGTTGTACCTAGTTATAGTATATCTACAATATTATGTGTAATATTCGCTACTTTTGAGACGCTCTTAATATTAAAACAGAATCAACATTATAATACCGTACACAAACAAAGTGATAAGTCTAAAGTTAAAAATATTTACATTATAAGATCAAGATGAAAATAGAAAAAGGAAGTAATTTTAACGCTCCCTTACATAAAGATTTCTTAATGAAGACACATAAAAAATTGTTCTTTATTTCTTTAGTTGAAAAGGGTGACAAAGGAAACGAATTAAATTTATTTTAGACAAAACGAGTACGTATAAATAACAATAGAACAATGCATTTCATAGATGGCACTAAATTTGGATAAGTAATTAAGATATTATAATTAAAGGTAAATTTGAAAAGACCCCGATAACACAAATTGCACTTCATAAAGAAACAATAAGAGATACATCGTAATGACATCCTTTCTATTATTTCTGGAAGATGAATAAGGTTTATTACAAGGTAAAAGTAATTAGGTCCGAAAAATCAGGTTTAGGTACGTATGACCACAACTAATTAGAACTTTAACGCCTGTATAGTATCTTCATTCTTGAACGTTTGACAGAGTGGCATTTTAAAATTTATCTGAGCACGGGGTTTGATTTTGTGTATACTTATTTTTTAATTTTAAAAAGTTTTATTTCTGGTGGTAGTGTCTTGGTTAGCGTTGGGCAAAAAAATCGATTAATCGATTATAATCAAACGATAATCGGGTTTGATTATTCTATTAAATTAATCGATTAATCGATTATTTGATTAATCGAAAGTAGATGAGCAATGTACGTACGGGACCAGGAAGTGACGTCACACCAATCAGAATCGAGTATTTCGGTCACGTGGTCACGTGTGAGCCAATCAGAATGCAGTATCGGCCATTTTGTCTACGTCACATTTTGGCTGTTTTGCGTCCGGGGGGATCTAGACCAGGAAACGCGTCACACCAATCAGAATCGAGTATTTCGGTCGGCCATTTTGTCTACGTCACATTTTGGGTTGGATCAGGAAACGTGTCACACCAATCAGAATGCAGTATCGGCCATTTTGTCTACGTCACATTTTTGGGTTGGATCAGGAAACGCGTCACACCAATCGGAATGCAGTATCGGCCATTTTATTTACGGCGTCACACCAATCAGAATGCAGTATCGGCCATTTTGTTTACGTCATATCTAGGTTTCCCGCGTTTATTTCTGGACCAGGAAACGCATACTGCTGATTAGAATTTACCGGACGCTGCTTCCTGTTGACGTGAACGGATGTTGCTTCCTGTTCCCGCCATTTACGTTTCCTGCTGATTAGAATTTACCGGATGCTGCTTCCTGTTGACGTGACCGGACGCTGCTTCCTGTTGATGTGAACGGATGTTAGTTTCCTGTTAACGACCGGACGCTGTTTCCTGCTGATTAGAATTTACCGGATGCTGCTTCCTGCCGATAACCGGATGTTGCTTCCTGTTCCCGCCATTTACGTTTCCTGTTGACGTGACCGGATGCTGCTTCCTGTTGACGTGACCGGACGCTGTTTCCTGCTGATTAGAATTTACCGGATGTAAGTTTCCTGTTAACATGAACGGATGCCCGTCGATACATGAATTACGAATCTACCGCTTTAGTCAACTGAGCTAAAAGGGGCGCGCGATTGCAGGGGCGTAGAGGGTGGCGTTAGATACTCACATATGAGCTACAGCTAACCCTACCTGCTATAGGTATAGAGTAACAGCGTGCGAAATTTAGTTGTTATTATAATTAGAATGGGAAGCTGCAATCTCGCGATAGTGTTTATTTATAGCAGCTATGATAAGACGCTTAAAGGTGTAATAACCATTTTATTTTAATTAATATAATAAATATCTACATATACAAAATGCTAGAAATTATGAAGCTACAAAGTTTTTTGTGTGCGCTCCGCCATAATACAATCTCTACAATAAATCATTAACGGCGCTGGACCATCGATGTGGGTGCGCTGCCATGGTTGATTCCAGTGTTTTGTACATCGTATTCGATTCCGCAGCTCACAATCTCTTTGAAATACGGTTGGAATCTTGATCCATATTTTCAATAAGTCATTTACACTTAAACTTAACAATTCGCTCTTCGTCTCAATATAATTAGACTCCTTTTGAGCCTCTCGCCTAGCGATGTTGTAAAGTATTCGATCCATTATCGTTCGATATGAGGACCGAAATGAACATTAGCATCCCCGTTTTATACCTACACCTTTAAGATACACTGCGCATGATGGATTTCTTCAAATCCCCTCCAAAAGTACTTTTAAGAGCAGGTATAAGAGTAATAAGAAAGTAAAAAATCGATTTATATCGAGATGAGTGCACAAATACAGCAACAATCGCAAGATTCGTGGGGTAGCGAAGATGATGCAAAGTCATCACTTTCGCTGGATAAATTATCGGTGAATGAATCCTCGAAAGAGGAGCAAGGTATGCATTGAATAACGCCGATTATTGTGGAAGCAAAAGATGTATGTTTATAGGAAAGGAAACCTTAATATCTTCGTGGTCGTTATTCTTAGACGGAGGCATTATTCTCGAAGTTGGCGTTACACTGGACGAGTACTTTTTCGATTCCATCGTGCAAATATCATGTCCTCCGCATTATGATGACCAGTATTTACAATTTGAGCGTTGCGAATGGAAAGAAATATTCAATTTTAAAACTGAACACTTAATTAAACATATGGTGCAGTGTACGCCTAAAAGAAGGAGCAAGCATGAAATTTTTACCGAGTCCAAAATAATAATACTTGAAGCGGAAGAAGAAGAAGACGGCGGATGTATTCGAATAAGCGAATCAGATAAATCTATAATATTTTCCAAGCAAGCAATCGATATGATATTTATCGCTTCCGAAGTAATTACTCAAAAATTGGATGTTGCCAACCACTATGCGATGTATTGTCTTTATGATGACTTTACGCGTGAGGTTGCAAAAATTCTACATACCGAAGGTGTTACTAGCGAAGAGAGCATTTTATCGAGAGGGAAATTGATATGCCAAAATCTCAAATTGTTAACATCGCTAAGCAGTTGGAAGGAAAAGTATGATAATTTGCAAGACTTGACTCTTCTAACAGAAATTGTAAACATTCACCCTCGAAAATTTATAAATACGGTTGTTAGTAAAATTAGCATGTTAAAATAAATAATTTTTTAACATAAAAATGCTTTTTATTTATTCATAGGTATGGATACACATCAACTTATTATCCACCTAATGCCGCATATACAATTCAATATGTTTATCAAACTTTAAAAGTTTAGCTAATACATTATATAATTGCTCCAATACGCCTTTATTAGCACAATGAATATTGAATAAGGATAGATCAATGTCACCTGATTGAATTACACGACCTGTATATTCACTATATTTATGAAATTTATTTCCGGTGATAAAGTATAGGTATCCATCCATGTATTTGAATATAGAAGTTATCTTAGCCGGAATATCCGGAAAGGTTTCCGCATATATTAAGCGATTTTTAGGCCGATGACTACAATCATCCAAATCTAGCAGTTCATTTGCACCATGATAAATAAGCGTGCGTCCGGTATAGGTGTTAACTGCAGCATTCACTTTATGGCTGTTGGGAATTGTGAAGTGGCTATAAGGTTGAGGCCATCCTGGTAGCAGTTGCAGACTAGGGAATTGCACTATATATATGCGACCGCCACTAAAGAAGACAACATCACCGTTAGGCTTTTGATATACCGCTTCCAAACGTTTAAAAGATGCCGGAAGAAACGTTAACCACTCAAGCAGATTCTTGGCAGGTTCCACTTTGCTGCTGTTTAACGCAGATATCCAAACCCAATGTTCATAAAACATATAAAGTCGTTTGTTTAGAATCAAAAAGTGTTCGATTTGAATGGTACACAGGTCAGGTGGTTTAATGGTCTTGAGAGTAGGTGTAGTTGTCTTAATACCCGTTGAAAGATGATAAGTTTTATTCTCTGGTGAAGGGGTACCAGCAGTATCACTAGGATATAGTGCTCGGATTCCAGCTATATCATCCTCATGTAGCGTGATCATATTTGAATTGTAATAAGGAAACATGAGTGCATTTTCATCGCTCGAATGGTGTAATCCGAGAGTATGACCTATTTCGTGTAAGACAACTTGGAAATAACTAGAATAACCGGGGGGAGGTGCATTTGCATCTGCTACATGCCAGCGTTCTTCCCAATCTATATGCATTTCAACAACATTCTGATCTCTGGAGGGAAAGTATGCATGGGCTAATACATTGCCCAATCCATCAAACTCGAATGCACATTGCGGATATGGTGGTGAAGCGAACTCATGCTTTCGGGTATGAAATGATATTAATATGTCTGGGTTCCTTGAGCTATATTTGAATTTCAAATTTGTGTGGTTCGCCCAAACTTGAAATGCTTTATCCGTCATCTGTAAAATGTGCAGGTCATGCATATTGGAAATATAGTAAATCAAAGTCTGTTTTGTCCATTTATACCGATGAGTCATATACGCTGCTGGGTCATCAATATTTCCGCATCTAGGTCGAGACATGAGTTGTAATGTTTCGGCATTTAATCTGCCATCACTAGGTAGTTTATAGAGTTCTTGAAATTTCTTTAAAGCGTTAACGGTGATATTTGTACGATTATCTTGAGTTGATTCACCTTCACCAGGCTCCTTTATATATCCATATTTGGTGAGATGACTATATGCCATATCGATTTCACGCTCACTGATTGTATCGCTGCCGTCGTCAACATTATCAGCAGCAGCAGCAGCAGCATTAGCACTAATACAGAAAAACCAGCTCAGTACGACAACTGCAGCTTGCATGATTGTAAAATCTATACTGATTCAAAATTTTCTTTTGGAGGACTAATAAGGATGTGGTAGTGCGGGAATATATTGAAATGAATTAAAAATTAGGTTATAAATACTTAATCCTCTCTCAACGACATAATGGTGCAGACTGTAATCGATGTACAAGGCTTTAAAACATCAAGAAACGTATTTATACCAAAAGAACTGGCGATTTATAATGGCAAGCAGGTTGCTCATTTTATGTTCAGGCCTCCATTTCCGTGGAATAGCTTATCTACCGATTTACAACGGCAAGCTACCTGGCTAATTCATAACCATCACGGAATTAAATGGGAGCATGGTCATACGCCATCCTACATGTTTCCAATTATACTTCGCCAGTTAATATCATCATCAGACCAAGTATACGTTAAAGGAAAAGAAAAAGCCGATTTCATTCGAAAAACTCTATCGCAAAATGTCACCGAGGTGGAAGAAGAACCAGCTCTACCTAAATTAGAAGCATGTTGCTACTATCATGTGCGCTCACTTTGTTGTTGCGCATTATCTAACGTTTATTATATTTATAATACGCATGTAATTCAGTAATTTTTTTTAAATAAAACAACCAAAATCAATCAATCATTTTTTTACTTTATTGCAATTGATACATCTTAATACGATTACATAATATGGGCTCCAAAACAGCTGCAATGCGTTCTATTTTACATTTGAAGCGGTACCTATCTAATGCGACAGTTTCCCACGGACCCTTTCTTGCTTCTCTGTGAGCATAGGACCACACTCGCAAGATATAAATTTTATTTTTTGATTCGTCAAAACTGACACTCTTCATTTATATAAAGTTTAATTACACTTTTACGTGACCTATATTTAAGTTTTGCGTACGATGCCAGTAAACGGTTCATACTCGATTAATGCATCATGTAAAATAACGCAGTAAGCGATAGTTTCATTTGCAAATGCAGATGATGCTTCAACTTCCAGCTTCAAATCGATCACCACGTTATGGACGCTCTCGTTTTGACGGGTGCAATTGATAATGAAGATAGGCTGCTTTTCGAACTCTTTGTAGCTAAGAAGGGAGCTCTCCTGCGACGAGTCGTAATATTGATTACGAAAGTTTAAATATTCTTCGTAAGCATCCACATACTTGTTATCGGTAAAAACCAGATTTTGCTGCTCATACGGATATCTTCGGTTGTTAATGTTTGCTTTTATATTGGAAATGCTTAAATGGTTAAACTCGCTCGCATCTGCTTCTTTGTTATTTCGCTTCCTAGTTTGGAACGCAATCAGTAGCCATTGAGGCCGTTGAAAACCGGTGCTGCTTTTTACCGACCAAACCAATGATCTGGTGCTGGGTAAGGTTGGGTATACGTAAAGGTCGCGCGCATGAAACGCCACTTGTATCGGCGAATTCTTGTTAATCCTCCCGTAGATCGATAACTTCATAGCATCGTTAGGAATTATGTACGGAACTTTCCATGTTACCTTCGTAAGATTAATCTTAACTTCAGTCTCGCCTTTATAGCAATCACTATCGTCCTTGGAACGAATTAATATCAGTTCTTGACGGATGTTGACTAGAGGCTTCCTGTATCCTTCGGCAAACCCGAGTACATGCTTTAGAGGTATGGAAGCGCAGAAAGCCGTCTTCGTGCTATTTAGTATCTGAGGAGACCCGGAAGGGCTCCAACCTGCATGCGATAAGCATCTGCTTTGATCTGATGTGTATGAGCAAAACCCCTTGATGGTGCTGTTTATTCCGGGTAATCGAACAGTTTCTATCACCTGATCACCCAAAATAAACCTAATTTCGTCGAAGAGAAAGAGCGGCGCGTTGTTGGTGAAATCGTAAGCTTTATTTGCGGTAGTCGGATTCAGCGTTCCTTCTAAATATATAACGCTATCGTAGGTGGCCGTGATGAGATCCGCTTTCTGTATGACGAGATTAATCTCATCGGAGTTACCATAAGCGTTTGTCGTATAAGGATGGTATGTTCTGCGATCGCATTCCACGATCATGTCTTCATACTTTACGCCCGTGAATAGGTTTTTTAATGCTTCTTCCATCTTTTCTTAGTACTGTATAGCCGAGATATTGCAAAAACTGTACGTCGTCTTCGGTTAATGCACCGTGAGCAATTGTTGCGTCGATGGCCGACGATGGATGACTAAATGAAGAACCTTGCTTACAGAAAATTTTAAGTCCCATATTTTTTCAGCTCCAATCGAATAGTCACTCTTTCTTCGCCGAAATCTACTAAATGACCGTCTTGATCGACTAACCTCAAGGTTATGTTATCTATTTGATGCGCGAGTACCGGTAAATATATAATCGTAGCCGGCTCCTTGATTAACTTATAGCCCGGCTCAACGTGTACGTCAAATTCAAAGATTGTATGAGATAGCGCACTGTTTCTGTATGCTCCACCCGTTAGATTACACTCGACGTGTATATTAGTAGCGTTGATTATTTGCACGTCCAGATCAGATTCATGGGTTCTACCTCCTTTATACAATTTAGGAGAGAAACCGAGCATGCGACCGATGGAGTTCGATTTCCTAAAGTCAATATCATGTATGGTTTTCATTTCGCATTTTAGCGTATTATTATTAGGTCTCAACATAAAGTCCATCGAATTGGTTGGTTCGTTTATATGATGCTGTAGAATCCTGTTGATCTCTTCAATTTCATACGCGCCACTCGGAATGGTAATCTCTTTGAAGATGCTATCGGCCGCTGCATAGTAAAATTTGTTGTTTCCCTCAAATATATTGCGTATAGAATTACAGCCGTAAAAGCCAACCAACCCTAATCCATATTGATAATTGCGGTCTAGTTCGATCGGTGGAAAATATGAGGTGCTGAGGACGTTGCCGGCACCTGTTAAGGTGAACGTTTGAGACATGACTGATGAAGTAAACAAACTCTAGGTTCAATTATTATTTATTATACAGAAAATTTAAACATAAATGTCCACATATCAGCGTATTATAATTTTGCTCCCTAGTATAATTGTATATGATGTTGCATCCGGATAAATATTTAACTATTTCTATTGGTGGCGTCAAGTCGCCGAAGCTATCATAGTAAACTGCCTTCATGCCGCGTTTCTTGAAAGCAACCCAATGCGTACCTCTTCCTTTAGCATCATCCAGGTTTACGATAGCGCACTCGTTTAAATGGGGTTTTCGCGGTAATTTATCACGCATAAACACTCCTCTGAAGAAGGGTACGTCTTTCGCATACTTTACAAGATCCGAGTCCGTTAATGCTTTTCGCGGCAAATTTAAAAGTTTTTTGCCGGATATGGTTTTAAATATAAGGCGTATCCAGTCTTACGCGGTTGAAGATACAGCGAACTGCCTTGTTTACCCAACGAGGCGGCCTCCATTGCCATGTTATGCCGTTTATTTTCCTCCAGCTGCTTCTTCGCGGCCGACGCATCGTTAATTGCTTTAGCTATACCGCTAGCTCCACCGGCCATTGCGCCCGCAGCTGAAAGACCGGCAAAGAGCGGTACTAGGAACGGAAGAAAACCTCCGACTTTAGGTATTGGTATCACTCGCGGCACTCTCACTCTTTGCTTACCGCCTGCAGCTTTAACCGCTTTCTTGGCGGCCAACAAACTTATTTTGATAAGTTTATTCAAGTTTGCCGATGATGATAGGCCTTTTATTGAATTTCGAATTGGCGTTAAAACTCCGCCTCTAAACGAACAAGTCTTCTTCTTTTTCCCGCGCTTTGCGATACGTCGTGTTACTCCCATGCCAAGCTTCCTTTTGGCCTTCATTGCTCCAGCTACGGCTAATGCTGCTGCTTTCTCTCCAAAACTAGCGTCCTTTGCCTTTACACGATCCCAAGCTCGAATTTGAAGTTCTTTATCGGCCCGATGACGATTCTCAACGTCTTTGAATTGATTGTATGCGATGTCGTGTTGCTTGCATGCAGCGTCCAACTGATTTATTCCTTGATCACCCCGAGCTAGACGCTGCTGTAGTTTGGTTCCCGGTCCGCAGTATTGATATCCGGGGATATGAAGTTCCACCGGCAATTTGTTTATCAAGCTGTTTATAAACCCCTTTCCTACTC